TTTTCAGTCTTTGCGTGTTAAGGTTTGTGCTCAAAGAAGCATATGATTACTGATAGGATCAAACAGTTTATTCTAAAACGATATGCCCGTCATTTAAACAAATAGTTATACACTGATTTTTAGGAGGATCGAACACTTATCTAAGCTTTTTAAAAGCAAGAGAGTATCGTCTCATTCTGCAGTGCAACCATGTGGGTGCCTTCATCCGGGTGAATCATTCACACCGTGTATTGCATGAGCAAGCATGGTTATTTCGATTAATGATCGCACCGATCAATTATCCACAATATGGACAAGCTAGTTCAAACCTAACCCACTTACACTACCTGTCAGACACGGTAATACAACACCCCAGTGACATGATCGTTAACCTAGCGAACCAATTTAATGTATAATAGGCTTTCAATAGACCATCGAGATTACTGCATAACTGAACCTGTAGCAGCATATCACGTTCAGTTCTGAATATTGATATAGCCAAGGTTATATTAGGGGTAGTTTAGTGGGTAATAAGCAATGTGGCTTAGTATGCATGTTTTAAGTCCAAACGAGCTTAAAACCCATGATCTCATGTGCATTGATTGATACTTTAATATGATGCATTCAGAGTGATCTGGTTAACAGGAGCATTTTCAAAGGGTTTTCGTACCTGGTAGTACTTACTATCAATAGTACTGTCTAGAAAAGAAGCACAATTTATGCTTCTCAGATACATTATCATTAGCCTTTTATAGGTACAATTATTAATGTTAACTCTGAACTTCAGAGGATTTGCGTTTTCCATGAGTATTTCTGTTAATAATTTGATTTCTTCTTCCAATCTATCTATTTTGCAAATAGGTTGGGTCGTTTTAAAAAGCTTTTTACAAAATTCAGTCTGTACTGTATTTGACAGAAACTATAAAAGTTAAGGTACTTTCCGGTCCATGCAAGTTTTCTGTACACTGATCTTTTTATCAACCCATCTTCCTTTCTAGTTAATAATACATTTTATTATGATTTTTAACAGAGACACTTATGGAAAACACATATCCTTCGAAGTTCATCAGTTGTCATAAAAACGTCTCAACGGTGTAAGCTAATCAGTTTTCTGTCCTCTAAAAGGAGGTTAACGTCACACTAACGTATAATGGGGAATCTTAAAGCATAATCTTAATATGAAGGCTTAGTTTAGTTACTAAAAAGACATATTATGCGGCCAAGCTCAATATTACCGATAAAATGAAACTTATACTTCAAAATAAACCTCATCACTATGGACAATAAACTATGTCCGCAATGTTAACAAGTGAATGATACTATATGACTATGCGATGCATCTAATCAGCGGAACGGAAGGTGCAATTTACCACACTGTCGAAGTTTTACGTTTATATTATGAAGAGATTAAAATCCACATCACACTATTTCTACCAATACTTAAAAATCCAGTTTATTGGTAAATGAGGTACAACGTCGATAGATGACAAGATTCCAATATACTAACCTTTGGATAACAGAGAAATAATACTTGTTCGCCTAGATATAGTACGATGAAGCTTTCTTTTTGACTGGATAAATGTTAGTAGTAAATTGTGTACAGTTCTATAGACCAGAAAGACAAGATACAAGATATCGAGAATTATATGTCGATAATCTTAAGAAAATCAAAATTTGAATCCATGATTACCTAACTTTTGTATGAACATCTTAGACTGTCTGGTTCAAACATCTATATGTATGACTAATTTAAGGTGCGTAATAAAATGACATTTCCACATTGTTGAATGTATCAAATTCATCTTTTCATTCACCGACAAAAAAGATCACTGAAATCCTTTATCCAACGAAGTCAAATCTGAGCGTGTTTAGCGTTTCAGATAAATTTGACGTCTTCCGTTGCATCAAAGGAATTAACGTTTCTTCTCTATTCAAGAATATTTCACTTGTATAAACTACGTGCTATCTATGCAATTATATTGAGTCTACTAATACAACTTTTGGATAACTGAAGAAGAAATTATAGAAGCTTGTATCATTATGCACTTTCAATGTACGGTTCAGATTTGATGATGTGACCTACAATGAATCAGATAGAGCAACATAGAGTTCAAATTAGGTTTCAAGTTGGCTGATATCTTCATGGCACATCTTGAAAATTAGCCACAGGAAGAAATAATCTCAGAAATTTATCTGTCACATAAGAGACACTGATAATACGTTTTGTATTTGTGACGAAACCTGTTCGATTAGTGAACTCGTTGTACAACTGAGTGATTGTTACTCATCTGTCAAAATCATTGTTCAGGAAGAACTAAGTTCCAGGTATCACCCTGGAAATGCTATCCTTAACAATAGGGATGACTGTTCAATGCAGAGCCAGATGGTTAACTAACTTCAACGGTTGAATACCTTTGACTACAAAAAGAAATCTTATTCTTTTCTTGTGTTCTAAAACTCTATCAATATGTTGAAATGATGTTGGTGATTAGAAGATTGGAGCTGCTTGAAGTGCAATATAAAATAATGGGTGCTCTTGAATATTTATCGATAGAAACCTGAAGAAAAAACTACCCATCATTGAATTACAGCTCCAAAGAAGATTTTAATTATAGAATCAGAATTCAGTGGAGGGGGGAAGCTTTAATTAGAGTCCTGAACAGGTGTCTATCGAAGAGTATTGAGAATACTTTCTATTCCACTAGGTCACGGTTTGTATCCTTAAGTTGTTGCGTAACTCAATTACTTGTGAAGGATAGGTTTCCACTTACTTCCACATCTATGTATGTCTATAAACTCACTTTCTTCTATCGATTTGACCACATAGAACTTCTTAAATGGGTCCTTGGGAAATGCGTTGGCAAACAGTACCCAATTTGGTTAACCAGAGTTTAGTAGAAAGCAACAAATCTATCCATAAGTAAACACCTAATGGAGTCAGGTCATTCAGTTCCTCGGAATTCCTCTTTTCAGATAATTTTTCGAGCTAACTCTATAAAAGGTTTATTTTTTCATCACTTACGCACAGCTCAAGTATTAGCTACAAATGATCAAAAGTCTAATATTTATATTCAAAAACTCTATACGAAACCTGTTTCTCTATCTTGACCCTGCCAATGCGGAAGAAGGAACTATCGCACTTCATTTCGGATGTTTCACTTTAATCATCTCACAATCGGCAAAAGAGCACCAGATAGTCGTGAGAACCAAGACTTTACCCACATACACTACCACTTTCTGCACATATTTCCAATCTTCCAAACTCAACTTTTAAAATAGTACAACATTTAATTGTTTCATACAAGTATTAGAGTTGACTGTTTTTGCATATAAATTCGCTGCAATATCAGTTTTATTCACAGTTTAATACATTTTAACACTTACTCATGAATCAAGATTCCACTGATTTCTGAGTTCAAGGTCAGAGTAGAAGGCAGATGAATACTGGTGGGAGAATATCCTTATTTTACCTATCAGCTGTTCTTATAAGGCAGTATAATGTTTTAATGAAAATATAGTTTACTGCATTCACTATACTAACATACATAAAAATAAACTTCCCTACAAAAACCACAGTGAAGAACATTGAGAATTTGCTTTATGTAACCATTATCTGAACTGCTAAGAGATCGGATGGTTTAGTAACCCAAGACAATCACTGCGTGATATAAGTCAATAAAGCAATCGTTTCACCTTGAAAGTAATAACGAAGGTTAACGACTTCAAAAGAACTCGTCACATTTTGTAGACTGTTTGGTGGCTAGCACTGGAATCCGTTACGAACATTTCATCCTATTTGGGGCTGGGTGCAGTTGGACCCCACTAAGTTATGGTGTTCCCACTGTGACTCAAGCCCAACGTCCATAGCTTCAAACTCCGAAGCGTTATCGACTAGGCCAGTGGGGTACGACAGCCAGCTCTTGCGTAATTGGTATCAGTTTCTCTTTGATACTTGCAATCTCCCGATGCTATATTGGGTTGAATTACTCGACTTCTGTTGGCAGATATGCTCCTATGCAGATGCTTTGGTACTGTCCGAGTATTCATTATATTGTAGCTGTAGTTTGTTCTATTTATTTATAACAGACAATTTATTTTTACAATCTTTCAAACCAGTTTACCATTTTCGACTCTAAGGTAAATTTTTCAGCCATGATTTTCAAGAATAAACAAGTGCACCTACCTTGATAGGACTGATTTTAATTTTTATACCAAGATTTTTTTCTCTACCCTTACTACTCTCATGTTTCCTACTGACTAATTGACCCTTTCCGTGAATTTTCATATAACTAGTGCAACAAGTCTTTGTGTGATCAGATTGTTCGAAATGTGTAGCGCCAATACATCACGTGTTTCAGATGATATTCGTCTTCTTCTTAGTCTGTTTATATAAACAAGTGAGTTTGACGCTCACAGTGAAAACAAATCCACCACTATTATTATTATATGTCTCTTGGGTTCCTAGTTGGTATATTTCTGGAATTAAGCTAGCTGAAGTAGCTTACGAGAAAATATGCAACTGCAGTGCACCTTGAGTTTTTTTGTCTTGACCAAAGCAGCAATGACAAGAGTAAACTGTCTGAAAATCACATAAGAAGCTTATGTTTCAAGTAGTCAAGAGGTAATATGACAGCTTTTAAAAGTGTACTTTTTAGCGACCATTATAAACTTAGAGTTGAGGCCACATCCCCGTTAACGTCTAGAGAAGAAACATTAGCTGTAGTCGGAGTAAAAATCAGAGTAAGTACATCTTAACTTTCGATTGTTCGGCTGGGGAGATGATCAACTTCGTATCAGGTTTACGACAGAATAAGAATTTTCTATGGGTAGTTACCTGCTTCGATAATGAGTTCTAGGTAGCTCTGCTATTAGCAGTTGTTAGTAGGATCTTTTTCTTTATCGTCATCTGATCATCTAATGTACCATACTTCGTTGTAATGAATCAGGAACAAAATAAAACTAAAGGAATTTAAACGTAGTCGTTATACAAAAAATAAGAAATAATAAGAGTTGCACCCTTATTTCAAAAGCAATAAACACTTTATTTATCATAGATCAAAGGTTAGTTGGTCTCGTTCTTATCACAATATACTGAAACTGAAATATGTAGGCTGACTCAGACAGACTCTGACATAAATTCAAATAACAAATGGCAAGTATTAAATTCTTAAAGCATTGTTTAGCGATCAGTCATCTCCTTCCAGCTAGTTGAAGAAACTCTTCGCGTAATTTAAGGTTTTCTTTTAAATCGCCCATCATTGCTGTTGTCACTGTTGTGGAATTAATCTTTTGTACACCCCGCATTACCATACACATATGTGTAGCCTCAATAATTACGCCTACACCTCTTGGATTCACAGCCTCAGTCAGTGCAGTGGCGATTTCTTTGGTAAGCCTTTCTTGTACTTGAAGTCTACGTGAAAATATTTCAACTATCCGTGCTAATTTACTCAAACCAAGAACTTTTTTATTTGGTAAGTAGCCAATGGAAACACGTCCAATAAACGGGATCATATGGTGTTCACACATTGAAAACATTTCAATATCTTTGACTAGCACCATCTCATCATGATCTTCTTGAAAGATTGCTCCATTTAGTATATCACTAACGCGTTCTTCATAGCCTTTAGTGAAATACAGCATAGCTTTGGCAGCTCTTTCTGGTGTTTTTAGTAGACCTTGACGATTTGGATTCTCACCGACAGCAATTAAAATTTTATGAAATGATGAAACCAGATCAGCATAATTTTCATTTATCCCACCTGTGATAATCCCATTGACACTATTCAACTCTGATACACCTAACATACTGCCACCAAGAGCAATAGAACCATATAGATAATCTCGTTGTGCATCCCATAAGGACGCTTGACTTTGTTTACGACTTGATTGTAGACTTAAACAATCTAACTGATGAAGTGGTTTTAGATAGATTTGTGATCTGGACATTAATGACTGTTCATTTGTAATTTTGTTAGGTTTTAAATACCTGCCTGCAGGATAACGATGGTTATTGGTGTTATTTTTCTCATTTTTATTCACTGAACCGTTTAACTGAAATGATAAACGTTGTTCATAGTCTTCACGTTTTACACTGAGACTTGATGAACGTCTTTTAGGTGATATATTATTTTTTGACTCATTTGAATTCAATGATAAAGTACCAGAGTCACAAGTGTTTATAAAATGATTCATTTTAGGTTGGTTCTTTTGAATATTGCTGTTATTATGATCATTACTAGTAGTAATATTGTTCGTCTGAGAGGTGTTTGATTTTTTAAAACTCGCACTGAGTACTTCACGTGTAACACGAAATTTCTTTTTAATCAATTGATAACCTTTAACTGGACGTTTCGGTGGTTCATCAATTAGACTGTTTTTATTGATTTGCTCTTCGTTTATACATTCTTTTAGTGCTGAACCATCTGGAAAATGATGAACTGTTAACTTTTCATGGAGATATTCTTGATGACTGACAGGCATTTCGCTGGATCCATCATCATGTTTAACGTGTGTGTTTGAGACAACAGTTCCTATTGGGATTGTTGTTGTCATCGTAGCTGCTGGTGATGATGATGTCGATAAACGAGACTGATATTTTTGTTCATTTTCATCCATAGCTAGTACATGAGATACTGAATATCGTAACATTGAAATACTTTTAATTTCTTCTTGTTTCTTAATGATGAGTAGTAGATGTTTCTAAAGAAACAGAGGATAAATAGTATAAGTTAAGTTTTTATATCAATTAACATCAATTTTAAAACTTCAGAATAAAAAACAATATGGCAATTCACTTATCATATTGAACGTAATCTAAGTGAAATGAAACACACTGGTGTTAATTCACCCTTCCAGGAACCTTATTAAAGTTGAAGGAAGAGAGGAAGCAGCAAAGGACAGACTAAATAAGATCATAAGGTATCAAAAGGACAGAATACATGAGAACTCTTTTTTAAGGATATCTAATTGTTGTCTTCTGCTATAGACTTAGTTTGGTCGATAGAGATCGCCACGATCGGTAGCTACTAGTTTCTGGTCCTGTGAATAAAATTAAAACATTCTTAACCGCTTTTTGTGTGCACATCTATGGATCATTGAAAATAGAGATGGTTGATATTATGCCAAATCGGAGACAATAATAATATGTGAAGCTACCCACCGTACCTGTTGAATTTATTTGTCTATTTCTCATAGTGTTTTATTTTAGCATCAACATTAAAAAATCTGGATAACACATACTACTTAAGATACAAAGACCGTACCCTGACTCAACGTTTGATAGGTTACGTCACAAAAGTGCATGCTTTACACTTTTATTCATTTGACAAAAGCATCGTACAACATCGGCACCGATATTTCGAAATTTGTTTCAAGAAGTTCCACTACACGATTCAGACAAACAATGTCTTATAATTATTTTGTAGAAGTTCATGAAGGGAGCTTATGAATACGCTGCATAAAACAATAAGAAGATTAGAATGGTATAGAAGGAAAAAGATCGACAACGAATGACGAAACGACTAGAGAAGCTGTACCATGAATTACGTTCAATGAACGACTTTCAATGGATAGAAATGAAAGGAGAATGTTTTTTCTACTGATTTCCATTTCAGGTGTTATCTGATAAAGTCTCAAACTTATGAGTTGTATGATTATTTCGTCAACTTTCTAGCTAACTGATACACAAACAGATACTTACTCAACAAAAGTTTCTGTCATTCTATTGCTTGGTGTCACGTACTGACCAACTTCACACCTCTTTTAGCTCTTACCATAGTTAGCGAATAACGAAATGTGTAGGTGGCACTGGAACGACTTGTGTAATCTAAATCACCGAAGTAAATTTCTCAAGATGACTCCACTCACTGAATGATGGTCTCCCTCATGTCCAATCACAGACTTTTAAACTTTAGGTATACTCGTAAAGTCGCTGAATACAACACTGGGTGACGCGGGTTCGAATCTCAGGCGGGACATCAGTTCTGTCAAGGTTGCAGATACGCCTTGCTGACGAGTGCCGAAAAGCATGAAACCTAGGTCCAGGGCTTCCTGCCGATTGCCTCCAACCAACTACCATCTACTAATGTGCACCGTGATGGTGAGCTTCTTAGCTTGCTTGCCACATTGCAAATATGGTCGATAGAATTCGATCTGCACTCAGGACTAGACAACGTGAAATTGGTTGCACTCCCGTGACCAATCAATACAACAAATGTTTGTTGCTTCCAATATCAAAGAATATGGCGACTGTTGGCATGGTCGTGTTCGAACATCTGGGAGAAAGTTATCAAGTATTAACTTATTCATGACCTGAACGACGCCTGACTTACTCCGCAGAAACAGGCTCTTCCTTCGTTTCGCAAAGCTTACATAGTATGTTATCAGCCACTACATTTGATGGAACTGTAGACGGACTGGTCCTTTCATTGCCCTCCAGTAGAGCTTTCTTGAAGTTGAAGATACCGATTGAATCGTCCGAGTTATGAAACACTTCCGATCTGTTATGTCTTCTTGAATAATCTGGAAAGTTATCAAACCTGTCTCCCCACGGTCATCAGAAACGGAACAGCGTAAGTTGTCTGAACCGGGCACCCTGTGACACTTTAGTACTTATTGCTGCTTAGATTTGTCGGTGTTAACTGATCACTGATCACGAGAAACTTAGGTTGAATTTGCATAAACAGTAGACTAACTAAATTGTTTTCTGATGTGATCTCAGCGTCTGACGTGACCATTAGGTTGTTTATCTGCATATCATCTACCTCGCAAACTGTTTCACTTGGCTTTTTGTTGTCTGTGGCCCATACAAGCTAAGACGGAACCTGGCCATAGCTAGATACAATTACAACTTCCATCTCCTGGTGCGTTCTAACCATCAAGCTTCATAGTAACTACATGGAAGATCTATAATTTATTTTGTGAAGAACTTATGCAAAATGTTGTGCATTTTATCCTACACAACAGCAGAACAAACAAACAGCAGAAGCAGAGAAATGTTAGTTACTGTAACACTATTTCGAACGACCAGTTGTTTTACGTTTTTAAGAAAGATCATCTCCGGATGTGCCTGTGCTCCCTACCCAGTCAAAATGCTGTGTACTATCGTTGTGATAGCGTCGAGACGTTTGGGGAAAAGGTTAAAAGAACACGAAATATTCAGCTATCTAAGTAAACATTTACGTATTATCCAAGTACAAACAGGTGTTTTATAAGGAGAAGCCTTCTTTAATGTTTCAGAGCTATATGCACCTAGCTACAGTATAACCATTCTTCAGTGGTAGAAGGAATACTGCAAATAGAAAAGAGAAAATGATTACACTTAACGATGACACTTGTTAAAAATAGGTTGTGTTCTACACAAAGTTACAGAATGTCACTTCTATCTGACCTGAATGTTGCCAATTTTCACTTGCCATCCAATCAGATCTCCTTTAAGCCTGGACTGGACATCCAGTGTATACGTTCTATTGCATAAATAACACCACAAAACATGCAAGGAGCATTCTATTAACAAGGTCATTCAACTGTTCGTAGAACTCAATCTTAGTCGTATACATGTCGTAGTTACTTTTAGACGTAGGTTGAGATAAAACAGAACCATATTTCTTCCCACTAGGTACTTCCTGACAAGACTAAAGCACATGAAATACTATTACTGAGAATCAATTTGACGGGTGTGGTTTTGGATCCCACACCGGTATCAACAAAGCTTGATCTGAATGCCACACGTTCACCAGATAGGCGTATGCCACACACACGCTTCCGGGGGAAATGGAGAATCCATTTAGAATGAAGAGTGAGTCTTCATGATGCAGCAAGCATTGATTGCAAGACTGTCTGAAGTTCAAAACAAACACCAACATCCTCATGATTGTAGATGAACCCTTCTGATGAGTCCAAAGACGCGGGAATCCTAAGTTCATGACTTCCTGCCTTCTGACTCCCTCTGCCTGACACCAGGACCTATATTTTATCTGGTTAGAAGCCAACACTGAAGATGCATAGTCGCTACAGCGCAAATGGTTTCAGAATACTCGTATTGCATTTCTCAAGGTAATTTCTTGGCAAATCACGATGATAAAAGTAGAATAGAGTTCTGCAAGATGACCAGCAGTCGAATAAAATAAAAAGTAGAATAAGTGTGAAAATAATACAGATGAAAAACAACTTATACGGAGACAAAACAAAAACAGTATTGCAACGTGTAATGAGTGACTGAGTTCAGAATGTGAGATACTATGAGTCCGGTTAGCAAAAGACGGTGTAAAGCTAGATTTAAAGTCTTCATTGTGGTGGAATAATACTATTATTTACATACAAGCTAACATACTACATAGACGATTAACCAAAAGCTAATGGTTCCCTTAAGGAACCACTCCCTGAACTTGAGGCTTGAATTTTAATGTATATGAGAAAAGAGAAACATTAGAAGTCGTATCAGTGTGGCTATCAGTATTCAAAGTAACTTTATCTGCCATTCTTTCTCTTGGTTTCTCACAGGTTAACTAAACCACCTACTTGGAATCAGAGTTTTATTACTCGCCTAGGTGAGTGCTCTATGACTACAAGTCTTGTGATTTACACTGAACATTCACTTTCAATTTTTTTCATTTTTAGGAACATCACTGTTACAGTTAGGCTGTTGATAAACAGTTCTCTAAAAAAGACCGTGAACATGCTGTCATATGACATTTTGAGAGAATTAGTAAGCTCTATCCAACATCGGTTGCACTGTGTCAAAGAGGATATCTTATCGTGTAGTCAATATTTTATGAAACAGTAGATAACTACCTACTGTAAGCTTATTGCCAATCACCGGAATTTTTTTCAACAGGCAAACTACTAAATGTGGTGAGAATGCTGAAACAAGTGAATTTATATACAAATACGTAACCATTTGATTAATTATAACTGAATTGTAAGGCTATAAGCACCAGATTGGTAATACTGTTTTGCAGTCTAAAAGTCAACAACTAGCCATTCTAGATTATGACATCGAAAAGATTTAGACCTCTGGTCTCTAGTTTGTCAACTCAGATAAGGAACATAATTCCTGCTCACATCTTATTTTCATTTCTATCATCAAATGTTGTCTCTAGCGGTTATTAAGGTAAGAGGTAATCAGCCATTCGTGCCTCTTTGAATTGTAATTGCTCGATGAGGAAATATAAGGTCCTGGGTCCTATTCCTGGCGTGGTGAAGAGCATGCACCGCTAAAGAGTGACATATTAGGACGAGATAACTGTCCAGTTCTCCCAGGTTATTAATTGATGAACTTCAATTCTTTTATGCTATAAAGGAAGAGTGCGCCACCATCCGTGATCTGCTTAGTAGGAATGGCTACCCAGATAAGTTTGTAAATAAGCACATGAATATTACGAGGGTTAAGAAAAGAGTGCCAACAGTTCCTAAGAAGCAAATCTTGTTGAAGCTGGAATTTAGGAGTCATATTGCCAGTGAGATCATCTCACAAAGCATAAAAAGAGTCTTGCATAAAGCATTCCCAGCCGCTAAATTATGTCCTGCCTTCTACAGCCGCCCGATTCTAGGTGCAAGAAATAAAGACAAACTGCCTGGTTCTGCCACTTCTATATGCATTTATCAATTCAACTGCTCCTGTGGAGCGAGTTACATTGGGCGTACAATGA